GGGGGGGGGGGGGGTGGTTCCTTCCTGGAGCGCCTTCGTCTCTGCTCGCCTAATCCCTTCGAAGAACGTTGTCCATTTTCCAGCAACTGACTGACACTAAAACTTTGGCTAGACGACTGTAATGCCACTTCCTCGAGAGATTTGCGGCCATTGTTTTCTCAACTGAATTCCGGTGGTTGATTTTGGCTGAATGAGCTTCCATGCCTTTGTTGGGTAAGCTTCTCTTCTTTTGGTTTCAATGGCGTCTTCTCTTCTTGTTGTGTTTCATCTTTTTTCTTCATATTGCGCGTTTCATTTCACACTGACGCTTTATATATTGCTTTTTCTCGCGTTTGTAGCTGAGATTTTTACTGCTCAGCCTGCCTTCCACTGTTTCCATTCATGTTTTCTTGTGAATAATTCAATGGTTTCGCTTACTTTTGGGAATGAGAAGGAATTATCTTCTTGTTGGAAGTCCTTGATTGTACCGAAACGGATGAACTTCAGTGCCCAGCTTGAGGTTTCCAGGCGCGGGTTATTGATTAGGGCAATTGCTACTCTTGAATCCAAGCGAGTGGTTCATGATGGGAACGGGGGCGTTTATATGGAAAAACGGACGGAATTTAAGAATTCTCAGTTAGGTTCTGCCCTGTTTACTTCAGATACTCAGCTTGCATCATCCGGTGAAGATTCGGAAGAATTAGATGAGAGAGAACGGGTGAGGCGAGAGAGGATTTCCCAAGCAAATAAAGGACAAACGCCGTGGAACAAAGGGAGAAAGCACAGTGCTGGTAAAACACCCACTATTTCACTCAGCGTTAATACACTTTGAGGATTTATCGTTTACTCTTTCTTTATAAGCAATTCATTTGCAGAGACGCTTAGACGAATCAAGGAGCGAACGTGGCTTGCAATGCAGGATCCTAAGGTGAAGTCATGTAAGAATGGTTTTATGTATAAGAAATGTTTGATTAATCCATGATGTTACCCTCTGCTTTTATGGTGGCAATGATTTTGAATATGAATAGTGTTACACGGCCTAGGATTCAAGCATTGGCCATGAACAGAACATTTATCTAGGATTACTTGATATCTCACCACTTGTTAGCTACCCTGGGTTGAGGATTGTTGGGAGGGAGTCTCATGTTGACTAATTTAGGGAATGATCATGAGTTTATAAGTAAGGAATACATCTTCATTGGTACGAGTATGAGGCCTTTTGGGGAAGCCCAAAGTAAAGCCATGAGAGCTTATGCTCAAAGTGGACAATATCATACCATTGTGGAGGTTCGTGATTCCGAAGAGCATGTTCACTTCGTAATTTATATTATTTTCTGTGCAGGTAAAAAATAAGTTGGCTAAGGCTGGCGGCCATGCTCAGAGGTAGATGTCATCTTATTCTGTTTGTTTGGATGGTTTATGATCCGTGATTTTGCAGTATTACTATCTAAATATGTGATCTCTGAGGCATTAATTTGAAGTGCCCCTCCTTCGTGATGCCACAGTGAAGAGACAAGGATGAAAATTGGGGTTGGTGTGCGAATGGGGTGGCAAAGACGTCGTGAGAAGCTGGTATTACAAGAAAAATGCTACATAGAGTGGAAACATTTAATTGCTGAAGCTTCAAGACGAGGATATAAGGGTGAGGAAGAACTGCAGTGGGACTCCTACCAAATCCTGAATGAAAGATTTAAAAAGGAGTGGCTGGAGAGTGTCGAGCAACGGAAAAGAAAGTCGAGGCCGGTTGGAAGCAAGAGAGCACCAAAGTCAGCTGAGCAGAGGAAGAAGATATCAGAATCCATCTCTGCAAAATGGGATGATCCTGTATGTTTTTGTTATATATCCTCCATTAGCTGCACTAAATAGAAACTTTTTTTCCTCATTAAATGCTCCCTGGATGGTTTTTGAAATCCGAAGATAAAAACTTCCCATGGAACCGAACCACTGGTTGTCAAGAAATGTTTGGATTTAATTCTAGCTCGTCGGATAGACCCGGATCATCATTTGCAAAATGACATACTAACTGTTAGCCTGTAACTAATCTTTAGACTACCATTACATTATTTGTATCCCTATGACATGAGCTTAATCACGACCAAACATTCTTAACAGCAGCTACCTCTGCATTCTGCTTGTTTATTTTATGTCAGGAATATCGTGATCGAGTTTGCTCTGCTATAGCTAAATATCATGGCACGCCTATTGGAGTCAACAGAAGAAGGCCAAGGAGAAAGCACAGTGAAAGTATGGAGATCACAAGAACCAGCCAGAAGAAAGAAAAGAGTAATGTTTACTCTTCTTTTGC